AGAAGACCCTCTGCAGGCTCTGCGGCGGGATGGCGGGGCGGGGCGGCGGAACGGTCGTGCGTGACGCGGGGCACTTTGCTGGGGCTTTTGTCCGCGCGCGGGAGGGGAGGGGGAGGGGGAGGCACGCACAATGCCGATGATGGCCGCGGTGGCCAATCCGCGCGCCCCTCCAAGCCGCGCTCCAGGCGTCTCCAAGCGCCTCCAGGCGGCTCCAGGCGAGCACGAAGTGTACCCGTTGCGCAGAGAGTTCTGCCGCCAAAGCCAAAAGATGTCTACCTAGCTCTGTCTCTTTCGCGCTCATAGGGCGTCCTCCATAGGTGCGAGAGAGGCGGAGCGACGGACTCAGTCTGGTCCCAGCAGGGCTGGCGCCATCTTGTTTGCTCCGACGCCTTCCGCGCGGAATGCTCCTCGGGGCGGCGGGGCGACGGACTGGGCGGCCGCTCGCGCTCCACCTAGCTCCACCGCCCCGCAGTGCCTCCCTCAGCGGGCTGCTCTGTCTCTCTCGCACTACCGGGGCGCACCCAGGGCGCACCCAGGGCGCAGCGAGGCTGTTTCCGATGGTGCTCCAGGCCTCGCTCTAGGCTCCTTCTCCAGGCTGCTGGAGGCTTCTCCAGGTTTCTCCAGGCTTCTCCAGGCCGCCGCGGCGCCACTGCCGCCTTCTCCCTGGACACGCAGGGCAAGGATCCTCACAGTGTCCTGACCGCGCCTAACCGCGCCACCCGCACTGATCTGACTGTATCACTGTGTGACTGGGGCCCATTGTGGCCGGAGGACGTGCAACTCATCGCCCACACGGTGTGTGTGTGTGTGCATGTGTGTGTGTGTGCGCGTGTGCGTGTGTGTGTGCGTGTGTGAGTGTGTGTGCGTGTGTGCGTGTATTCCTGCGCTCGCGCCCAGTGTTAGCGCCCTCTCACCGTTCGGGGCCGCGCCGGGCCGCCGCGCAGCTCGCCTTCACAACCGCCGGCCGGCTCCACCATGGCTCCACAACAAGCGCTCATTTAGCGCCAATTAGCGCCCATTTTCCTCCACACTGACCGCTAGTGTGTGCGAGTGTGCGTATGTGTGTGTGTGAGTGGGCGCGTATTGGGGGTTGTGTGTACTCAGACGTGTACACAGCCGTCGTCCCACGCGATGAATGCAGCCGGCCGAGCCGAAACGCCTGTGTCAAAAGGTCGATTCGTACGTAGCAGAGCACCGCACCGCATTATGACTCTGGGGGTACGATCGCGGTGCCGTCACCTCGTCTTTTTCCAGTGCCTCCGACGGCAGCTACACCTGGACCACTCCAGCCGACTCCAGCGGACGGCTGGAGAAAGACAAACGCTGGACAAGTAAGTGTTTGTGCCGTGATACGTGTGTCTGTGTCCACAGTGTGTCCACAAGGCGGAGAGGAGAGGCCTGCTGCTGCTGTCCTTTCACACGGAAGGTGTCTCATTGACGCAGTCCGACGGGGTGCTGCCGATCGTTACAAAAATAAGAAATGGACTCCAATGGACTCATCACAAAATGTAAAATTGTGCGGGACTCGAACGCTGGTCCTCCAGAATGTAAAACCGACGCCCCTGTTCCCTCGGCTGTGAAGTGAGCCTCAAGTAGTGTTGCCTCACACCTCGTGAAGCAAAGTCCAAACACGACTCAATGAATGAGTGTGCGCCGGTGTGCGCGCGACAGGGAGAAGGGTGTGTGTGAGTGTGTGTGTGTGTGTGTGTGGTGTGAGAGAGAGAGAGAGAGAGAGAGAGAGAGAGAGAGAGAGAGAGAGAGCGCTGGCCGTGAAGTGGCCCCTGTCACCGCGCCGCCTCGGCCTGGCTGGCCGATATGGAACAAGAAATTGAGTTTGTCCCCACTCCGATCTTGAGGGTGTCAAGTATATGGCGCGCTCTAAACTAATTTGCCGCTTGCTTTGAAGCGCGCCAAAGCAGCCGAAGCGTGGCAAGGGCAAGCCAGGGGCAAGCGTGCCGGAAAAGCGGCAAAACGTGCCAATGTGGCCCGCCCTGCTTTCGCCCTGCTTTCGCCCCACACGGTTGGTGAAGCCACCTCCTGGGAACTGGCCGATATTGGGATTCACAGAAGACGGCTTTACCGTTGCACACCTTTGCCATAGAGTAGTCGCGTGGGTAGGGTGACCGACTACGTAGCTTGGGGTCATGGTTCAAATCCACGCTTTGATCATGATTTTTATCCAAACAACTGACCTCCAGTTGGACTGGGGCGGACGTGGAATGGCAACGACGACCGAGAAGCCAGGTGTTTGCCGAGTGGGATGCGCGTTTTCTGTGCTTGTCGACAAGAGACTGATCGAAGCCTGACGAGCACACGCAGACTGATTCCACTCTGGGCTGTAAGAGAGGCAGAGCGACGAAAACGACTCTCAGTCTGCTGTTTGCGCTCGGCCAACACCCTTTCCCCTTTCCGCCGGGAGAGACTTACGCCCGGTCGCCACCTGCCGGCCGCAGCGCGCGGAGAGCCAGAAAACTTGGCAACCTCCGGAGCCACAACAAACAGGCGGCAATTTGTCGCGCCTCGGACACTGACGTGACGTCACTACGCCACTACGCGTCACTCAGAGATGTGTGTTTTCCTCTTGAAGCAGCTGCGAACAATCGCCCAGCCTCGCTTCTTTGTAACTTATATTATGAAAACATGGCCGGGGCCCTCAGCGTCAGTCATCCGAGCGGCCGGCCGGACCGGGCCGGACCGGGCCTCCTTCGCTCGCAGAGTAAATACCGTCCTATTTCTTAATGCTGTCCACTGGAGGGCTCTCCTGGCGAGCGGGTCGCTGGCGAGTCGAGTCGCGAGCGTGGGAGGTGTGTGTATAAATATTGCCCGATTGGTGGCGTGGGGGCGCAGGCCGGCCATATGCTGCAGACGAGAGTCGTTATCGCTCTGTCCCTCTCGCACTCATGGCGCGTCCCGTGTAGGTGCGAGAGAGACAGAGCGATGAGTCTCAGTCTGCTGGGCATGCTGGGCCATGACACCGTTTCAGCCCTCCCAGCCGCCAAGGCCCGAGCGCTTTTTTACCACTGGAGTCGCGGCGTTGAATGGGCGCCTTCGTCCTGCAGGCGTCCTGCAGGCGTCCTGCAGGCGTCCTAGGCGCTGGGGCCTCGTTGGGGGGTCCGGAGAAGTGCATTCCAGGTCCCAGGGCCGCGGCATGCAAATACAAAGGAAACCCTTTCCTTTCAAGCACCAATCCAACACTCGGGATCGCACCGCCCCACTGTTAGAAATGACGTGGCTCGGCTTTGATCAGTGGCGGATCCAGAGGGGGGGATAGCACTTCTTATGCGGGGAGAAGTGTGGATTTTTGCCTACCTTCCAGGCGGCTATGCCAGGCGGCTGCGAAGCCGGCCAAGCACCGCGACAACAGCAGCAGCCGAGGCAGCAGCCACCCGCCGGCAAGCCTGGCAAGCCGACAGCGCCTCAACGCGCTGTCTCTCTCGCGCCCCTACGGGACGCCCCACGAGTGCGAGCGAGACAGAGCGACCAAAGTGTGAACCCCCCGCGACGCCACGTGGTCAGTCCGTTCGATACTGGGTGGGGGCTGCAGCGCGGGGTGGGGCTGCCGTGCTCGGCCGTGCCGCCGGGCTGTAAATGGACGCACTCTAGGGTAAACACCGGCCGCCATCTTGTGTTTAACGTGTTTCTCTTAACGGGCACTAATGCGATGTCTTCCACGTCGCTGGCGTCGCGTCGCCGCCCCCCGCCGCGCCCCCGCCCCGCCTGGCCCCGCCTGATGACCGTATTGTGACGTAGCGATTAGCACGGGCTCCCTCTGTCCGTCTGTCTCTCTCTCTCTGTCCCTTCGTCGTGTTTTGTGGCAACACGCGTGCGCCGCGGACCAGTTCGTTGCGCGAGCAGCAGATGTTTCCCTCGCACCCTCTCAAAAAAGTCTTATAAATCCGCCTCCAAGACGACGCGACAGGCTGAACTCTGCTTTCGTCGCTCTGTCTCTCTCGCGCCCTTGCGGGACGCCCCAATGGTGCGAGAGAGATAGCCTGCTGGGCGGGGAGTCCAAGTCCAAGTGTTTGAAAGGAATAAAAATGTGTGGGCAAACTTTGCATGGAGGGCTGCGGCCGTTGAATGGCTGTTCCGTGTTGTTATTGTGGTCTCTGTTTTCTTTGCTTATCGCCGGGGATCGGCCGTGTTCCTGCGTGACAAATAAAGTGTCGCATTTTGCTGCAGAATGGCCCGCGCGCTGCCTCCCTCGCGCTCCTGCGGGACGGACCATGCGTGCGAGAGAGACGAGCCCTGGTCGGAATCAGGCAGCGAGGGCGGTGGCCCTGGTGGCCCTGGTGGCCCGAGATAGCGATCTCCTAATGCCAATGCACTGCCAATGCACTGCCAATGCTGTGTAGGGTTGGTGTGCTTCCTCCGTCACTCCAGTCCTGTCCCATCCCCCCGCATCACACAGGAAGCGCTTTGTCACACGTTTACCTCAATGCTAATCATATTCGGGAAGGGGAAGAGAAAAGTACATTCCCCGCCGCCACACTTGGAACATTCTATTTGTCCTAGACTTGCGTCACCGCGGATACTCACTTGTTGAGAGAGGTACCTCTGTGACACGGACTGTTTGTCGATACGTATCACTCCATCAAAACTTCGTTCAGTAAATACTGTGTACTTTCAAAAGTTTGTCTTTTCCGCTATTGTAAAAGCTGGGCCGAGCGTGGCGACGCGCTAAGATGACTTCTCCTGATGACGAATCTCAGCGAAGCGCAGCGTTCCATTGAGGAAAGTAAACAGGCCGGACTCGGCTTTGGCCGGCTTTGGCTTGCTTCGCCTTGCTTCGCCCGGCTTTTCACAGCGATAAGCATCGGCGAGGAAGTCCAGTGTTGCACAGTGTCCCTTCCCAGACAATAGCTTCGTGCCGTTCCCGCAAAAGCACCTGTGCGCCCGCTGCGTGAACCGCCACACTGCCATCATGTTCGTCGTTTGGTGTCGTTAGGTGTCACTTGGTGTCACTTCGGTGGTCGGGGTTCGGAAATGAGCTTGTGCGAGTATACAACATTGTTCCAGCTTTATTGGAACGATAAATTGCTAGCTATCACTACTACGTTTTGTTTTGGTATGCGGTTTTCAGCGTTCTTGTCTTACAAAAGCTATGGCCCGTGGCATTATTTCTAGAACTGCGCTTTCCAAAAAGCCAGAATAAATTTAAGTGGTTCCATATGCCATTTTCTCAGAGGTTACAAAAAACGTAATAAAATCATTTGAAATTTTAAGGAACTTGATGTTTGACTGTGCAAAATTCCGCTGCTTCTGCAAATACGTGCTTCCTCCTCTTTTGAACACGTTTATCCATCAACGAATTTGACTATTTTGTACAAATTTACAAACAATAAATAAGACAAATTATATTCCACGATAATAAGGGTTCAGGTACATAAACAGGGTTAATATCGATCATTAAACTATACACATAATACAATAATGTTCACTGTCTAGCGCCCTCGGGGTTCGGGACGCATGTTGACCATTGCTTACAACGAAATAACAAGCACGCAGGATCCCTCGCACTGCACCGCGACGCGAGCGACGTGTCGGAGTGCCGCCGGAGCGAAGTCGAGGACAGTCTTCGACGCCGACCCGACGCCACTCCGACGCCGCACAGAAAAAATACTACTTTGTTAATCGACTTTGTTCTTTAGGCTAAAGTCGATTGGCTGCAATCAATGCGGTACCAGCAACCGACAAGCTGGTAGGCACGATCAAGTATTTGTAAGAGAACAAAGTCGATTACAACAACAAACGTATTTTGTTTTCCGCGCAGCACCGTCCTGGCGGTCCTCGACGCCTTGGGGCTCCAGTGGGGTTGGCGCGCCGCGGGCCTTGGCCCGGGCCAGGGCCTTGGCCAGGGCAGGCCAGAGGGCCCAGCCGTCCGATCACAGTTAGAAACGCCTCCATGGCGGCCTCCTCCGCCTCCTCACTGCGGCGTCGGTTCCCGGACGGGCGGACTCGGCGTCAGCTCCCGGATCTCCGTGGTCTGGCGGTGTTGTTGTTGTTGCTGCTGCTGCTGCTGCTGCATGGCCAGCCTGCGCACGGCGCTGTGCTGCAGCTGCTCGTAGTACCGCGACACCAGGTGGTGCTCCACGGAGGACATGAAGAGCGGCGCCGCCGTGGGGGACTGCGGCGGCCAGGGCGTCGGCGGCGCGGGCGTCATGGGCGGCGTGGTGGCCTGCTGCGCGTCCGCCGCGTCGCTGGACACCACGTCGATGTCCTCCTCGTGGACGTCCTCCTCGCTGCTAGCGTAGCGCGGCGTCTTGGCGGCCAGCACGACGCGGTGCGCGTCGGCGTCGTCGGGCGCGAGCAGCGAGGCCACGTCGAACTGGCGCTTGCGCGTGAGGGGCGTGAGGCCGGGCAGCGGCGTCGGCGCCAGCAGGCGGGGGTGCTGCGTCCACATGGTGGCGCACGGCAGCGGCGGCGACGCGGGCGTGGGCGGCGGGCTGGGCGACTCGTTGCCCTCCTCGTCCACGGCCAGCCCCATGTGCTTGCGCACCTGAAACAGAACACGACGCCGTCAGTATTGTGTCGGCCGAACCGCGTCGGCACCGCGTCGGAACCACGTCGGCCATGCCCCCGAAGGTGCCCGAAGGTGCCCGAAGGTGCCCGAAGGTGCCCGAAGGTGCCCGAAGGCTGAAACCGGTCCGCGCGGGACGCGGCCGACGCGGCATGGCGGCGTCGCCGTTGTCGTGTCCCCACCGTCCCCACGCGGCGGGGCGAGGCGAGGCGCGTTATGCTATTTCACAACAGCTCATGCTTGTCATTCGCATTGTTCTGGTGCCAGCGCCATTTTGGCCCGGATCCGCAGTGCACGAATAGAATGCCGCATCATTATTATTCCAACAGCACCCATACACACAGAGACACACGGACACTCACACCGACACACACACACACAGGCACACCCTGCGATACCCGCGGCGACAACCACCACGCGCGGACGCGCAGGGAGTGAAGAAAGGCCGTGTGTTTCCATGTTTTGAAGGGGAGGGCGGGGGATGCGAGGGGAAGGGTGGGCAGCCGTGGAAATCAGCCAACACCGTGCGTCGGTGTTCGCCGGTCCAGGGACGCCGCGGGAAAAATTCGAAAAAATGTAGTGTTTGTTGGCGGCAAAGTGGAGCAGGCGAGATTGCCGCGGTGTGCTTCCCGACGAAAATAAATACAAAAGTATAGCGAAAGTTGACAAATGCAAATTCGTGCTTCTCGTTTCCTCATTCCAATGCAGTGCGGCGCCACGCAGCCAGGCGGCCCAGCCCCGCAGCCCCGCAGCCCCGCCCACGCCAGCGCGGCCCCAGGCAGCCCAGGCCCAGGCCCCGGGGCCCTGATGAATATTCAGCAGATTCACCGGAGCAGCTTGTATTTTTTCGCCATTTTCACCGCGGGAGTATAACGTTGCCGCGGCCAAGAAAATGCGGTTGCCAGCAGCAGTGGGGAAGCGGCCGCCACTGCCGAAACTGATTTTCGCGGTTTCAACTTGTACATCGATCGCGCGCCCATTCATTCGCTCATTGGTTCATTGATGGGTCGGTCCGTCTGGGCCGCATCACATTGTTTGGCGTATCGGATGGCCGTTCCCACAGCATCCAGCGCAGCGATAGCATCTTGTCACCCGAGAGGCCGGCCAACCTCTTGGCCTCCACCGCACGCATACCGCACGCAATGCGCAGTCCACCCTCGCCGAATTACCGTTCTATGGATGGGCAGGTAAGTTAATTCTACAGTTAATGCAACTCACGTCTGATTTGAGCGCCGATCCGCTGCCTTCAAAGTGTCCCCTCCCCCTATCCTGCGCAAAAAATAGACGGAAGTTTGGTTTCAGATTCAATTTCCTCCTCGACGTGTGACTTGGTTGCGATAAGTAGCCGCGTCCAAAGATACACGATTAAAAGTGGTTTTAACTTCCCGCTGCAGCTGCAGTCGTGCCGTGGACGGGAGCGAGAAAAAAAAGAGTTGACATTGCCACCTTTCTTGGGGGATTATTGTTATTATTATATTATTATATTATTAACCACTTGGGCTAGCCGGCCGGAAAGCTCCTTTTGATCCGAGGATGACGAAAGTGCAGTCGGGGTGCAATGCAATGCAATGCCATGCCATTTGGGGCGGTTAGGTTGGCCACAATGGACTGCGGGATCTTAAGTGGTCCGTCCCGCCCACCGGGCCTGCCGGGCCTGCCGGGCCTGCCGGGCCTGCCGGGCCCAGAGGTGTGAAGCAAAGGTGCATCGGATCGCCCCGCCGGCGCGGCCGATTTTTTTCCTCGAGTGGAGCATAATGGCGGTTAAGGGGATAAGGGCCTGCATTGGGGGTGTGCATTGCTACTTAGCGAGGCGTTGCCAGGGAAAAAAGAAAGTCCGCACACGTCCCGGCCGGCTCACGGATTTATTGATGTCGCCAGATGAGAGCGCGAGGGAGAGAGAGGAGAGACTCGGAGACTTGGACGCCTGGCGACGCCAATGAATCACACAGCCCAAATCACACTCACACACAGACACACTCGCTCACACTCGCAGAATGCCTCACCTTTCTCTGCGCCTTCCTGCGCCGGAAGTCGCCCTTCTTGAAGTCGTCCACGTTGGCGGGGTGGATGGCCCAGTAGTGGCCCTTGCCGTTGGCGCTGCGCCCCGCCTTGATGAAGCAGTCGTTGAGGGACAGGTTGTGGCGGATGGAGTTCCTCCAGCCCGGGCCGCGCGTGCGGAAGTAGGGGTAGTTGTCCAGGATGTACTGGTAGATGTCGGACAGCACGAGCTTGGTGTCGGGCGAGCTGAGGATGGCCATGGCGATGAGGCCGATGTACGAGTGCTGCGGCTTGGGCTCCTCGGCCTGCATCATGCGCTGGTGGAACAGCGACATGCTGAGCGCGAGGCGCGGCCCGTAGGCGTAGCCGGGGCCCAGGCCGGGGCACAGCCCGGGCACGGACGCCACGGGCGAGGCCACGCCGCTGAAGGGGCCCGAGAAGCGCTGCAGGCGCTCGGCCATGGCGTAGTTGTAGAGCTGCAGGCGGTACTGCTCGATGGGCAGGATGCCGGGCGGCGGCAGGGGCCCGTTGCCGGCCGCGTCCTGGAGGCTCTTGAGGGCGGACAGCGGGTAGGGCAGCATGGCCGTGGGGCCCACGCCGCTGGGCGACGTCGTCTCGTTGCTGCACATGTTCACTCACGCACACACGCACGCGACGCGCTCTCGGGGAAGTACACTGCTGGACTGGCAGGGCTGCGGCGGCCAGCGGCTCCAGGCTCCGGTGCTGGAGTCGGCTTGCTGGAGCGCGGCCTGCTGGAGGGAGGCGTCCCCCACCCCGCCTTCCCCCACCACCACACCGCGACGGCCCGCTCGACGCCCCGCCCCCAGCAGCACTTTACCCCCTCTCCAGGGCAAACAAACACCTGGATAGGACAACACGGCTAGGCCCGCAACGCTCCGCAACGTCCGCAACGCTCCCTCTCCTCCGACACCCGGTCTCTCTCCCTCGCGTGGCCGCCTCGGCCGCCCTCTCGCTCGCATCACATTCTGTTAATATTTTCATTCCCTCGAGCACTCACCGAGCACCTCTTCCTCACCCCCCGTCCCTCTCCCCTTCTCTCTCTCTCTCTCTCCCATTTCACTCGGCGGCCCACTCTGCGCGCCTCTCCGCCATTTTCTCTCCGATATTATTATTACTATTTGCTCTCCTCGAAACCGGAGGCATTTTTCCATTTTTCCTCGCCTCGCTTTCTCTCCGTTATGTTGGCGCACTGCCACTGGGCGCTCCACAGCGACGCTCCGTAGTGGCAATTTGGCAAGCAGGACTGGCTGGAATCCTCTGGGGATAAGGAAAGAACACTTTGACCAACCAAAGCGTGATGACAAAGTTGTTTTCTGAAAAGCTTGCTCAAGTAGAAGTCTGGGTTTACAAAGAATTTGAATTTGGAATCGGGAGTACACTCACCTATCGCCAGTCGGCTTGTTGACCAACTACCCACTGGCGTGTCATACCACCTCAATAAATAAAAAATGGAGTTAAAAACAGTCTAGACTTCAGAATACCAAGAAGGCTTTTTTTGTCCGCCTGCGAGGGCTGAAGTGTTGATCTGACGAGGCTCGTGTGGTTGGCCGCGCCACCCACTACTACACCCAGCTCGTTAGCATATTCAGAAGGATACGAAAAATAAGGATGGACTTGATTGCGTTACATTTGGCCACGTCCCCTCCCACACACTCGCCTCGAATTAAAAACTTGTTGATGAAATTATTCGTGAGGTGATACGAGGCGCTGCCTTGCCAGGCAGCCCCGCTGGAGAGTGCGACTGAGTGAGGGAGAGAGTGAGTGGGAGGGTGAGAGAGTGAGCGAGTGAGTGACAGAGACAGAGTGAGAGAGTGAGTGTGGTTTGCGCCGCGCAACACACTGCCTGAGCGTGTTGTGGGAGAGAGCGAGAGGAGAGGCGGGTTGGCGGCGCAGTCCGTAATGCGCTGTGATTGGCTGTCGGTTTTGTTGTCCCCGCCCGGCGCAGCCCGGCGAGGAGGGAGGGGGAGGGGGAAGGGGGCCGCGCGAGCCGAGCCGAGTGGAAGCCGAGCACAGCTCGGGACGCTGCCGCTGCCGGCCGGGCTCAGCGCTCAGCCCCCTCCGCCATGTGCAAACCACGCACCTTAATCGCTGTGCTGTCTGGGACCGCGTGTCTAAGGTTTGCTTCCGCGATGCTTGAATCGCTTCAAATTTAGGACGGTTCACGCACTGGAACTCTCTCTACGAGTTCCCGCGGCCCAACATTGTGTTCATCGTCAACAGTATGTTTATCAGTCCTCCCTCGCCACTCTCAGCAAAAATAAACTTTTAAAAAATATGAATTTTTCTTTTTATCTTGATGTTTATTAAACTAAATTTAAGGAGTTTCGTGACGTGTTGCGAAGCGTCATTGTAAAGCAATCGACACACAGGGTCCAAAGCATTTAAAGTTTGGACAGGAGAACAAGAATAGCGCTTCTCTCACGGCCATCTTGTTCAATTTTTTCCCGGGCCTAATTAAATATTTATGGCACAGCAGAGCCCTTTTTTCCAAGCAGGGATTCCCAACCGAGCGGAATGAGAGATGAGAAGAAAAGTCTGTGGGACGCTCCTGGGAAGGGACAAGCAGCATGGAGGCGGTCTCCTCTGTCGTCATATCCATAATTTGGCGGTTGTCGAGTTCTCCTCAAAACTTTATCCGAAACTTTTCGCTGCCGAGCAGCGGCACGGCCGGGCTCGGCACGACACGGCACTCGGCGCGGCCACACAATACGCCTTTGACTGCAGGATCTTCTATTATGATTCACTTGGCCGTGCTCGTTAGAGATGGTGCGAAAGTTTGGTGGCGGGGTAACTCGTTTGCAGGGATTGCTCATCAAGTAAACGAGCGCCAAGAACGAAGAACTAGCGGGGACCGCCTGCCGCTCTATACACGACGGAAGGATTCGCCAAACTTTTCCGAGCGCCTCCTGGCCAAGATCGCTGTCGCCGTCTCCGTCCGCCCGCGGGGCTGCTGGGGCTGCAGAGGTTCCACCGCGCCACAGGGGCGGATCCAGACACTGGTTGAAGGGGGGGGGAGGCGACGTCGCTAAAGTTGCCTACCTACAAAGTGCGACTTGTCTACCTTTCTCCAGACTCCCCCCCCCCTTTTCCCCCTGGGCCCGCGCCTGCACGTGTATCGACGACGAAGCCACTTAGTTTTCTTTATCGACGGAACACACCCGGGACAGGACTCTATTAGGTCGGCAAAAAATGAGGGAAAAAATGAAATAAAATGTAGGTCTCCAGTCTCCGTGAATGGGCGGCCATTTCCATCAGTGATAAAAAGGCGAGCTATTTTGACATTCGATTGTGGAGACTGAATGGTCTTACTCCCCGCTAATCCGGTTGCAGGGCCTGTCCTGATGAAGTGTCCGGGCGGAGTGTTCCTGAGGGAGTGTTCCTGGCGGAGTGTCCTGGCGGAGTGTTCTGGCAGAGTGTCCTGGCGGAGTGTCCTGGCGGAGTGTCCTGGCGGAGTGTTCGAGTCGTCGTGCATCAAAAGCGGGCAAAAAATATCGATGCAAGGGCTGTTCCCGCGGGTGGGGCGAAAACAAATTGGTGGAAATCGCGTGGCAAAGTGATGTCATCCGCCGCAGAAAGGTTCTTTTCTTGAAATTACAAAAGCAAGGAAGGGTGGGGCGTAGCGACCGCGCTTCAGAGAGAGAGAGGGGGGGAGTGTTGAAGGGTTTTCGCGCCCCTCTCCTCCAATCATGTATTCCGAGGCATTCCCTCACGACGCAGTGCTTGCCAGCGCAAAACGCACGCACACATGAGTCACCGGCCAAGTAAGACAAAACAGAAAAAAAAAGTTGCCAGGAAGAAAAAAGATCTCCGAGAGGTAAAACGTGTTGTGACAACTTGTGGGGGGGACTTGCAAATTGTTTGAAAAGGATGGAATCCGTGAAACGGGACGCCGAGAAGATGAGATTCCGAGGCGAGATAACCGCCTAATCGACGCAACACGGACTGATGGCTGCACTTCATATTACGACGGAGGGAAGTTTTTTTTCTTCGCGCGCGATCGTCGTCTTCTCTCGATCGAATTTCCGTGTGTGTCGAGTTCGTCTTCCCGCTCCGCGCACACGGATGCGGAAAAAAAGGAACGCATTACAAACCGACCAATTTGTGGGTCGCTAACTTGACCGATGTCACGCCAATGGCACGTCAACCTCTGCAAGGTGTCTCCTTGCCCCCTTGCGAGGTGGCTAGCTAGCTGACACCGCGAAGCCGCGCAGCCACGCAGCCGCCAACGGACTCGTTTGTAATGAGTGGACTATCGAGGGCGTCGATTGAGGCTCGAAGCTCGCGCCGGGCGGGGCAAGGCAGAGCCGGCAGAGCGCGCCACGGCAGATAAGGAGATGGAGCGAAGCAGCGAAGGGCGGTACGCTAAAAGGGCCTCGGAAAGCGGGTCATCCGCGTGGCGTCGACCCGGCGGCCGCGACCGTAGCAGCATAGACATAGTCAGCGCTCTGTCTCCCTCGCACCTCAGGGCCGTCCCCTTGGCTTGAAGGAGAGCCACAGCGCGACACATGCCGCTCGGAATCAGCCTGCTGCTAGCAAAGCACCCATACACCATTATCACTTGTGGTGTCTGCGAACGTGATATCACCAACATTTCGTCCGAAGTGTCCCATTAGCTCACTTTCGCCGTCTTTTTGAGAACAATGGCTCATTTTGGTGCTCTGGCCAGCCAGCGGCGCGCTGCGACGAGACTCATTTTCTCGATTTAAATTTAAACGCGTGTGCGTTACGACTGGATGTGTCGTGTCCAGATGCGTGCGCCCGCTGGTCCGTCAGTCAGCAGCAGAGAGGGAGAGAGAAAGAGAGAGAGAGAGAGAGAGAGAGAAAGAGAGAGAGGGGATCTCACTGTACACACAAAGCTTTATATGGGATTGGAAGGTGTCGCTCTCATTCACCGCTAAACTGAGGTTGGCTCATGCGGATTACACATACACACGCGCGCGCGCGCGCACGCACGCACGCCCCACACACACACACACACACACACACACACACACACACACACACACACGTGAACGTAAAACGCATGAAAGCGGGCCGCGCCTCTCGAGAGGCATTTAGTGTCCACAGACGGTCGCGCCCGGTCTGGCCCTCTTCGGAGCGCGCGGCACGGCGGCGCGGTGAGTGTTTTGAAAAGCGGAAATGTTTTTCGGAAGAATGCCTCCGAGGACGACGGCGACGTAGGAGGAGGACGACGAGGCCGTTACGGGGGTCCCGGGGAGGCCGGCGGCGGGCGGCTGGCGGCCGGTGGAGTTCCAGTGAACGTGAACCTTGCCGCGGAGTGCGGACCACTGCGGACCACTGCGGACCACTGCGGACTACGGACTGCGGCGTGGTGCGGAGTGCGCGCTGACAGGAAGTAACCTCATAATCCAGCGGGAGGGCTCTCGAAAACCCGACCGCGCGGCCGCACCGCCATGCACCCTTGGCAGTTGCTTTTTGTTCGACGCGTCGTCCCGTTTCCAGAACCGGCCATGTGGAGTTTATTCAATTTGGAGTGGAGTGGGCCCGGGACACACGCGGGGGGCGGGGGGTGCCGTAAGTCACGGCCAAGGTTTGTTCTACGAACGGGACGGGCCTTGCCCAGGGCTTGGCCAGGGCTTGCCCGGGCACCACGATCGGGCGGCCGAAAGCAAACAACAAC